TACTGTCTTTGTTTAAACTATAAGTTTCTCCCAAAGTTAGTTCAGCCTGTGCCCAGGAATGAACAAAGACAGCTTGGAGGTTAGAAGCAAGATGGAATCAGTTAAGTTAGATCTCTTTCACTGTGTCAGTCACAATTTTGCAAAGGCAGTTTCACTTTTATTTTTTCTTTTTTTAATTTTTATTTATTTATTTATTTATTTATTTTTTTGAGACGGAGTCTCGCTCTGTCGCCCAGGCTGGAGTGCAGTGGCGCAGTCTCGGCTGACTACAAGCTCTGCCTCCCAGGTTCACGCCATTCTCCTGCCTCAGCCTCCCAAGTAGCTGGGAGTACAGGTGCCCGTCACTACACCTGGCTAATTTTTTGTATTTTTAGTAGAGACAGGGTTTCACCACATTAGCCAGGATGGTCTTGATCTTCTGACCTTGTGATCCTCCCGCCTTGGCCTCCCAAAGTGCTGGGATTACAGGCGTGAGCCACCACGCCTGGCTCACTTTTCTTTAGGCCTATTGTTGGGCAAGTAGATTGTTTTCAATATTATGTTATAGAGTGCTGTAGTGTACACTTATGTAAATGTCCGTATACCGTGCATCTATTTTTCCAGGATAGATTCTTATTTTATTTCATTTTTTAATAGAAACGGAGTCTTGCTGTGTTGCCCAAGCTGGTCTTGAATTCCTGGGCTCAAGTGATCCTCCCATATTGGCCTCCTAAAGTGCTAGAATTACAGGTGTGAGCCACCATGCCTGGCTCTCAGGGGAAAGTCTTAAAAGGAAAATTCCTGGGGCATGAAGAAAGTGCCTTTTTAGTATAAATCTTTAACTAGAATTCATTTTTTTGGTGTGTGGGGTTTTTTTTTTGTTATTTTAATTTGGCTAGCCAGTTGTCCCAATGCAATTCATTGGATAGTCTAATCTTTCCCACTGATTTGTAATGCTGCCTCTATCATAGAGCAAATGTATATGTATGCTTAAGCCCATGTCAGGATTCTGTATGTACTGTTTCTTTTATCTACTATTTGCATATTCCTTCAGTAATAGTGTTTTCATTAATGTAGCTTTGTAGTAAGCCTTAATGTCAGGTAGAACAAATATTTTCACCTCTAAAAAGTTATCGTGGCTATTCTTGCCCTTTTACTCATTTGCTTGAATTTTAGAATATGCTTATCAAGCCCTAAGAAGAGATAGTGGAATTTGGTTGGGATTTTATTAACCACACATTACCTTAGGAAGAATTGGCATTGTGAAAAGATTTGTCTTTCCATACTTAAGATGTATTCAGGTCTATTATGTCTTTTGTTTCTCTTTTAAGATCCTGTACATGTTTTTTGAGCTTTATTTCCGGGTGTTTTATTTTGTTGTTGTTGTGTTGATTAATTTTCTGATTGTGTTGCTCAATTTATTTGACAGAGCAGCTCACAAAACTCAGGGAAACACATTTATCAATTTATTATAAAGGATATTTTAAAGGATACAATAAACAACTAGATGAAGAGATACATAGGGGGAGGTCTGGCAGTGTTCTGGGTACAGGAGCTTTTGTTGCTGTGGAGTTGGGTTGCACCACTATCCTGGCACATGAATGAGTTCTTGTTCGCCTTCCTGCAAGCCTCCACAAGTGCAGTTGTCCATAGCTCTCTGTACCCCATCCTCTTGGACCTTTTATGGATACTTCATTGGATAAGCATGATTGAAGCTTGGACAACCATGTAAAACATGACTGGACAAAAAGAGTTGGATCTCGTATTAATAGACTAAGTGGGGACACTCAGGCTGTTAGTTCAAATTCTTCTTGGCCTCTCTATGCAGCATTTTGACTTACTGAGTATGAGGCAGGACTCCTGAAATGGGTGTCTTATGACCTACAATCAGATATGATAGGTCAGAGAATTTACGGCCCCCAGAAAGACGGAAAAGGGGGAAGATGACTGTATTTTTAGTTTCTATGGCCTGCCTTGGGGAGAAAAAGGAGCAGGTGAAAGGAGGGCAAGAAAAGGTCAGAGAGAGATGTTCTATTTTTTGAGTCCTGCTTCTGAGGCCTAAAACGCACCAATATTGTAACAAAAGGCTGTCTTACCTTTATCACTCTGAAGTTCCAAAGCTGCTTCAGGAACCAAGGACAAAGGCCAAATAATTCAACAAAAGATATGCTTATTGTTTTAATCACTTAGGAAATAAGGGCTATGGGAGTTAGGAGCCATGAACCATGGATAAAAACCAATGTGTATATGTATCATAATATCACAGGTATCAAGCCTAAGAACTATTTGCCTCATCCTAGATCCTAAAGGTTTTCTCCTGGGTTCTTTTTTTTGAGATGGAGTCTCGCTCTTTTGCCAGGCTGGAGTGCAATGGCATAATCTTGGCTCACTGCAACCTCCACCTCGTGGATTCAAGTGATTCTTCTGCCTCAGCCTCCTGAGTAGCTGGGACTACAGGCATGCGCTACCATGCCCAGCTAATTTTTGTATTTTTAGTGGAGATGGGGTTTCATCATGTTGGCCAGGATGGTCTCAATCTCTTGACCTCGTGATCCGTCTGCCTTGGCCTCCCAAAATGGTGGGATTACAAGCCACTGCGCCTAGCCTCCTGGGTTGTTTTCTAAAAGTTGTATAGTTTTATGGCTTAACTTTAAATCTGATCCTTTTTTTTTTAGAAGTCTCACTCAAAAAAAAGAACCCAGGAGAAAACCTTTAGGATCTAGGATGAGGCAAATAGTTCTCACTCTGTTGCCCAGGCTGGCGTGCAGTGGTACGATCTTGGCTCACTGCAACCTCCACCACCCAGGTTCAAGCGATTCTACTGCCTCAGCCTCCTGAGTACCTGGAATTACAGGTGCATGCCATCACGCCCAGCTAATTTTTTTTGTATTTTTTGTATTTTTAGTAGAGACGGCGTTTCACCATGTTGGTCAGGCTGGTCCCGAACTTCTGACCTCGTGATCCACCCGCCTAGGCCTCCCAAGGTGGTAGGATTACAGGCGTAAGCCACCACACCCGGCCAAGTCTGATCCATTTGAATTCAAGTGTACAAGAGGCAAGGTTTTGGTCAGTTTTCCTTATTTTGCCTGTGGATGTCCAATTGCTCCAGCATTTGGTGAGAAGACTACCCTTCCTCTTTTGAACTGCTTTTACATCTTTATCAAAAATTGATTGGAGGTCAAGCTTAGTGGCTCATGCCTGTAATCCCAGCTACTTAGGAGGCTGATATGGGAGGATCGATCACTTGAGGCCAGGAGTTTGAGGTAACATAGGCCCCATCTCTAAAAATAATTTTTAAATTATCTGTGGTGTCACATGCCTGTAGTCTCAGCTACTATGGAGGCTGAAGCAAGAGGATTGCTTGAGCCCAGGAGTTTGAGGCTGCAGTGAGCCATGATCACACCACTGCACTCCAGCCTGGGCAGCAGAAAGAGACCCTGTCTTTAAAAAAAAAAAGGAAAAAAAAAGAATCAGTTTTGTGTATCGCAGGCGTGGACTCCTCTACATAGTGATGTGATTCGTAGCACAAGCTCCTTCCCCAGGTATGAAGAAACAAACATTCCTTCAGAGCCCAAAATATACTCCAAATAGTCTCTTTTTGGAGATGGAGTCTCGCTCTGTTGCCCAGGCTGGAGTGCAGAGTGGAGTGCCACAATCTTAGCTCACTGCAAACCTCTGCCTCCCAGGCTCAAGCAATTCTCATGCCTCAGCTTCCCGAATGGCTGGGATTACAGGCACATGCCACCATGGCCAGCTAATTTTTTGTGTTTTTTGTAGACCTGGAGTTTCGCCATGTTGGCCAGGCTGGTCTCAAACTCCTAATCTCAAGCAGTCCACCCATTTCGGCCTCACAAAGTGCTACCTCCTGAAAGTGGCTTGAACCCTTGGACCCCACATTTTATGATGAATTATAAAAATAAATACAAGAGTTGAGTGGGAAGCTGGATTAGTAGTTTTCAAATTATAATTTGTAACTCATTGTTGGGTCATAAAATCAACTAGGGGATTCTCAGGATTTTTTTTGTTGGTTTTTGAATTGCTCATTTGAGATATTTTTAAATATAATAGCAAAATCACACTTGATATTTAAAAAATCAGTTGGGCATTCTTTTGTGGTTCTGTTTCTGATTTTTCTATTTTATTCCATTGACCTAAGTGCCTCTTCCTCCACCAGTACTACATAGAATTGATTAATGTAGCTCTAAGTCTTGAAATCAGGTAGATTGTTTTCAGACTGATCCCTCCCAATTTATTCTTCTTTGTCATAATTGTTTTTTGGTTTTGTTTGTTTGCTTTCTTGTTTTGAGACACTCTTGCTCTGTTGCCCAGGCTGGAGTGCAGTGGCACGATCTTGGCTCACTGCAACCTCTGCCTCCCAGGTTCAAGTGATTCTTCTGCCTCAGCCTTCCTAGTAGCTGGGATTCCAGGCATGCAGCACCATGCCTGGCTAATTTTTGTATGTTTAGTAGAGATGGGGTTTCGCTATGTTGCCCAGGCTGGTCTCGAACTCCTGAGCTCAGGCTGTCCGCTCACCTCTGCCTCCCAAAGTGCTAGCATTATAGGTGTTAGCCACCACGCCTGACCTATCGTAATTTTAGCTATTCTAATTCCATTGCCTTTCCACATAAGTTTGTCTATATCTACAAAAAATCTTGTTGAGATTTTGGTAGGAATTGCATTAGACCTATAGATCAATTTGGAGAGAATTTACATCTTTACTGTGTCACATCTTTCCATACATGCATATGGTATGTCTGTTGATTTGTTTAGATCTTCTCTGACTTTTTTCATCATCCTTTTGTGTTTTTTACAAAGTTTTAATGTATAAGTTCAGCATATGTTTTATTGTGGGATATTTTCTTAGCTTACTCCAGTGGGGAACAACCTAGCTCTGGTCTACTTGATACTGGCATATATATCTGTGGAAACGCTCTTCTTATACATACAAAGATGATCCCAACCAGCAGAATCCAACTGCACCATGTATAATGGACTTTATTCTCTCATCCCCTCGTGCACAGAAATGCTGGTTATTTCAGTCACTTGCCGATGACTTCTGATGTCCCAGCAAATGGCATTGTTGACTGCAGTGCTGAGAAGATACTTCTGAGGACCCACGTCTAAGGTGGACTTAGCTCGTGCTCTTCTGGTTAGTCCCTGAACAGGAGTGATGCCTCCAGGCAGGTGGCATGCTGTCTATCCAGCCCAGGCCCAGTCTTCGAGGGAGCGAGGGCGGCTTCAGACAATAAAGAAGGAAGAAGAGGATGAAAGCTATACTCCAGTGCAGGCTGCCAGGCCACAGACGCTCAACCGCCCTGGCCAGGAGCTGTTCCGCCAGCTCTTCAGACAGCTTCGCTACCATGAGTCTTCGGGGCCCCTAGAAACTCTGAGCCGGCTCCGGGAACTCTGTCGCTGGTGGCTGAGGCCTGACGTTCTCTCCAAGGCACAGATCCTAGAGCTGCTGGTGCTGGAACAGTTTCTGAGCATCCTGCCTGGGGAGCTCCGGGTTTGGGTGCAGCTCCATAATCCTGAGAGTGGCGAAGAGGCCGTGGCCTTGCTGGAGGAGCTGCAGAGGGACCTTGATGGGACATCATGGAGGGTGAGTGTGAGCAAGTGTGTGGTGCCCAGGGAACTCTTCCTGCTGGTGAGCCAGCTTGTCTGGGGATGGGTGTGGCCCTCTGAACTGTCAATATAGAGGAGTGCGGGGAAGCCTTCCCTTCTTCCCATGGTACCTGAGCAGCTGAGAACAGGACCCTGAGCCATGGACCCTTTAGCAGGTATCCTTTCCTACCTTCCCAGAGGAATATCAGCTCTAGATAGGGTCAGCAAGTCTCCATAAATAATGCTAACTTCTGGGTGCAGTGGCTGACACATGTCATACCAGCACTTTAGGAGGCTGAGGTGGGAGAATTCCTTGAGGCCAGGAGTTCAAGCCAGCCTGGGCAACATAGGGAGACCGCCCCCCGACACACTGTCTCTATACATAATTTAAAAATTAGGCCAGGCGTGTTGGCTCACACCTGTAATCTAAGCACTTTAGAGTCCAAGGTAGGCGGATTGCTTGAGTGCAGGAATTCGTGACCAGCCTGGGCAACATGGCAAAACCCTGTTTCTACAAAAATTAGCTGAAATGGTGGCATGTGACTATAGTCCCAGCTACTTGGGGGACTGAGGTGGGAGGATCATTTGAACCCAGATAGGTCAAGGCTGCAGTGAGTCGTTATTGCACCACTGCACTCCAGCCTGGATGACACAGCAAGACCCTGTCTCAAAAAAAAAAAAAAAAAGCCCAGTAACTAGTCTTTGGACACAGTGGCTTACAGTATACAAAGTCCTTCTCCACGTATTATCTAATTTGACTTGAGACTAACTGTAGCCCTGTAAAGTGACGAGTGTTGGAACAGCACTTAGGGTTAGGGCTCTTGGCTTCTCAGTGGGAAGAGTACATGTTAAAACTCAGAAGAGCGCTCTGCAGGCACCATGTAGCTTCCTTCTCAGTAAGGCCCCCCCCTTTTTTTTTTTGTGAGGTGTACCACACCATGCCCAGCTAATTTTGTTTGTATTTTTAGTAGAGAGGGGGTTTTACCATTTTGGTCAGGCTGGTCTTGGACTCCTGACCTCCGGTGATCCATCTGCCTTGGCCTCACAAAATGCTGGGATTATAGGCATAAACCACTGTGCCCAGCCCTTCTCAGTAAGTTTTTGAGGATCTTTTCTATGTGTGTGAGATGGGAGGCAGGGAAGATGGACATGAGTGCTGATTGGCAGTGCTGGGCTGAGAAACAGGAAGACCTCGATTTTAGACTTCATTCCACAGCCTCAACATCTGTGGCCACATAGTTGTACCTTTCAGAGCCTCTCTTCATTAAGAAGAAAATGCAGAAATGGTCTAATCATGAGAATTTGTTCAGTAAATATTCAAGTGCTTATCATATGCCTGGCCCTGGCAGAGTTGGCAGTCCCAGGCCTGGCAGTTGAGTGGCAGCCGGTCAGTTCAAGTGCATTCTTCCTGTCCTGCTGCTGCACACAGGGGAGCTGATGCTTCCTGTATTGTTTCAGTTTTTGAAAAAAGCATTTATCAGTTTTTTAAGGCTTCTTTAAAATTTTATTTATATAAAAATACAGGATTCTGGCCAGGTACAGTGACTAACGCCTGTAGTGCTAGCACTTTGGGAGGCCAAGGCAGGCGGATCACTTGAGGTCAGAAGTTCGAGACCAGCCTGGCCAACATGGTGAAACTCCATTTCTACTAAAAGTACAGAAATTAGCCAGATGTGGTGGTATGCACCTATAGTCCCAGTTACTCAGGAGGCTGAGGCAGGAGAATTGCTTGAACCTGGAAGGTGGAGGCTGCAGTGAGCTGAGAGTGCACCAGTGTAGTCTAGGCTGGGCAACAGAAAGACACTCCGTCTCAAAAAAAAAAAGTGTATATATATATATATATATGTATATACATATATATATGTATATATATATGTGTGTGTATATATATGTATACACACACACAGACACATTCATACATATACATATATATATGATTCTGCACACATAATTCATGTATAAATGAAAGTTGTGGCTGGGCACGGTGGCTCACGCCTGTAATCCCAGCACTTTGGGAGGCTGAGGCGGGCAGATCATGAGGTCAAGAGATCAAGACCATCCTGACCAACATGGTGAAAACCCATCTCTACTAAAAATAACAAAAATTAGCTGGGCGTAGTGGTGTGCGCCTGTAGTCCCAGCTGCTTGGGAGGCTGAGGCAGGAGAATTGCTTGAACCTGGGAGGCCAAGGTTGCAGTGAGCCGAGATCATGCCACTGCACTCCAGCCTGATGAAAGACTACGTCTGAAAAAGAAAGAAAAAAAGATTTCTGAAACAAATTTGACATACTTGTTCCTGAAACTTTGTTATAAAAATTAAATCAAGTAAGACATCAGGACATGGTCTACCAGCAGTAAATGGTAATAAACACAGGGTAAAACTGTTAGAAAATATTTTTGCACCACATGGGGTACTATTTTAAAAAATTTAAAAGAGCATTTGTTATTTTTACCAGAACAATGAAATGTTCAAAAGGACCTGATTAATAATTTATAAAAGGAAATAAGGTACACAGTAGTTACAAAATCGTGGCTTGGTTATATTCAGCTCATTTACAGCTAGATGTAATTTAAAAAACCCGTGAAAACATTGCCACATGAGCAGAAAGCTGGTTGAAAGGTACTTAGAAGACAGTGGGGGCTGGGAGAAAGCCCCCCAAATTTGCAAAATGAAGAGAAATACTTTAAGATACATGTAAAGTCACAGAATCGTTCTATGGTTCAGCAAAATTATCACAGTGTGAAAAACCAGGGCCCGAGAAAGTTTGTCCTTCAACTCGTTTTGCTGTGCTTCCATATTTCTTTTTTTTAAATTCTCCCTTTATTAGAAGAATAAAAAATGGGAGATAAATTACTATGATCAGTTCATCATCTTTAGTGTGTATCTCTGTATCAGATCATTAATGGCCTCAGGCTAAGATTTGTCCATATCGGTATAGAGAGTGTCTCGGTCACAGGACCAGAAAATCTCAAATTGTAGTTTCCTGTACTCACCTCTTCTATATGAGAAACAGCCTTGCCTCAGAGACCAGAGTTATTTGAAGTCTCAGGGCAAACGCTTCCTCTTTGTTGGTCTCTACTTAGATGGACACTGCCATTTTTTCCACTGGAGACTTTTTCTTCTGTGGTTCCATGGCTGACTCTCATGATTAGCATTGCCTCTTTATTATTCAAAGCAAGTTTACAACTTGGGAGCTAGCCTGCCTCTTTGAGTTCACTTTGTACATCAGTGCCTAGAGGAGCACTTGACAGTAGATATTACTTGACTATATCTTCACTGTGAACCATTGTGAGTTTAATTCTGAAGAACTAGTTCCTTCTCTCTCATTTCTAAGTTATAGGCCTGGGGTGGGAGCTGAGGGATAATGGGAAGGTGGCACTGTGTCATATGAGGCCCGACAAGAGTGCTGTACTGACTTAACATGTGCTTCCTTGTGTTGAGCTGGAGTCTGTCTCTACCTGGACTCTCCCAGGGCCCTCATTAAAGCCCAAGGAGGCTGAGGTGGTTGGAGGTACCTCCCTGGGTGTTCTTCTTGCCTGGAAGTAATAAAGGACCTGGCTTACCTATCCCTTGGCCTTTGTCCTTTAGAGATTGGTCGTGTGGTCTCTTCTCTGAGTTTGCTTTCTGATTCCCAGAAAGATCCTCTCACAACATTTTCTTCTTGCCAGGACCCGGGCCCTGCCCAGAGCCCAGATGTGCATTGGATGGGTACAGGAGCCCTGCGATCTGCACAGATATGGTCCCTTGCTTCACCTCTCAGGAGCAGCTCTGCTCTGGGGGACCACCTGGAGCCTCCCTATGAAATAGAAGCACGTGACTTCCTGGCTGGGCAATCCGGTACTTGCTGCCTGGCCTTAAGACCCCAGCCTTATGCCACACTTCTTGCATTTCCTGTAGTGTTGTCTTTTCACATCTGTCCTCTCATGTGAAACTCTTTCTGTCCTGGCCCTTAGCTCTCTGTCCTCTCCATCCGTTCTATAACCCATATGTGGCTTGCTCCTCTCCCATTACACCCCCTGTCCCACTACCCCTTTCCTGGCCCCAGTAGACTGAGGACATGTGAGATAGGTATTTAACAGCATTCTGTACCTGCTCATGGGTCCAGGAGTCCTCTACTGGGGGGAAGAGTGGGCTTCTCAGTGGGCTGTCCAGAGCTGAGTCGCTCTCTCATGGCTTTTTCTCCTTCAGATACTCCTGCTGCCCAGATGCCTGCCCTTTTCCAGAGAGAGGGGTGCCCAGGAGACCAGGTAACACCACCCAGGTCCCTGACAGCCCAGCTTCAGGTGAGCCACAGGACATTTGGTCCTTCATGATGTCCCCACATCACTGCCTAATGGGTTAGTGCAGCTGCCCCATCCTGGGTTTCTCTGTCTAGTAACCTCGCATCCAAAGACCTGTGTTCCAGAGACCAGATTATCCCCCTCAAGCCCAGAGGTCTTCTGCTGGGTGATGGTCTTCCCTTTCACCTTTGCCAGGTCCATCCTGCATTCACAAAGAGCCAGTTTATTCCCCTTCTCTCCCCTTCCACCTCAAAGCTGGGAGCTGTGGACCAGCTCTAGGGCACAGTGTTTTTTCAGACTATGACTTTCAAGGATGTGGAGGTGACCTTCTCCCAGGACGAGTGGGGGTGGCTGGACTCTGCTCAGAGAAACCTGTACAGGGATGTGATGCTGGAGAATTATAGGAACATGGCTTTCCTGGGTAAGTAATCGATATCCTCATGCTTCTATCTATCTTTATTTCTGCCGCCTTGGGTTGTTTTGTGCTGCTGCATAGAAAGGGACCTGACCTGGTTTTAGATCCTGGCTCTGTAACTGCTAACCAGATCACTTAGTCTAGCACCTTGGTAGCCTCTTTTGAAAAATGGGGAGAATAATGCCTGCCATTCTGGATTATTGTAAAGATTAAAGGTGGCTGGGCGTGGTAGCTCACACCTGTAATCCCAGCACTTTGGGAGGCCCAGGTGGGAAGATTGCTTGAGCTGAGGAGTTTGAGACCAGTCTGGGCAACATAGTGAAACTCCGTCTCTACAAAAAATACAAAAATACAAGCATGTGGTACGTACGCCTGTAATCCCAGCTACTTGGGAAGCCGAGGCTGGAGAATTGCTTGAGCCCAGGAGGACGAGGCTGCAGTGAGCCACGATCGTGCCACTGCACTCCAGCCCGGGTAACAGAGTGAGACCCTGTTTCAAAACAAATAAAAACAACGGATTAAAGGTAATATGTTTTAAGTTCCTAGTCCATTTAGACATTCAGAAAATGTTGGCTGATGTAGCCAATTAAGTAGACATGTGAGTCTCACCTCTGGAAAATTCTAGTAATCCTTTTGGGGTCAACTTCTGTCATTCTCTCTTATCTCTGCTCAGGGCTATTTGAAATGACTGGGCCTCCTTCCCTTCTTCTGCTGCCTGCCTTCCTGGCTTTTCTCACCTTCCCACCAGGACTTCAGGCCCAGAGGTCCTGAAGAGTAGTTCTGTGTCATCCATCTCCCTTCTCATCCCATTCCCTTCTCTTCTGCAGTGGGACCATTCACCAAACCTGCTCTGATCTCCTGGTTGGAAGCAAGGGAGCCATGGGGCCTGAATTTGCAGGCAGCTCAGCCTAAGGGGAATGCAGGTGTTGCCCCTACAGGTGAGTTCCAGAGAACCTGCCAGGTCCTGCTTCTCCTGCTTTTACTTTTCTCTTTCTTAAGGTCGGTTATAGAAGGAAGATCTTTAACAGTGTTGGTAAGGGTGCTTGGGCCACTGGGTCTCTTTCATCCTGGCTGGCCTTTGAGAGGTCATTCACTTCCAGCCATGTCTATTCTCCTGTCCCCGTTCCCCAGCAGCCCTCTCAATAATAGTTCTTGCCTGCTGGAGGGCTTCACTGTTCCTGTCTTTCACTCACTGATGCTCCTCCTCACTCATGGCCTGCACTCTTGCTGAATCTCCTGTACTCACCCCTTTTTGCTCTTAGGAGCCCTCATCCCACTCCTGTTCTTTCTTTTCTTGGTCCTTATTTTTGTAATAGGCTGATCTCCAGCCTTTTCAGCCAAGTGCTCCTTGGAGCCCCACCCCTTGGCTTTTGGGTACCTTTCTATAATGCCATGATTCTCCCACTCTGGCTGTTTAACACTTTCTTCTTAATCCTTTTTATTTCCCTGCTGGATGTGATGTCTGCATATCTCTAGCTGCCCTGCCCATCTTGCTTTTCTCCTCCCTTCCCTGTAATCTGGGATAATCTTCCATGTTTTGCCTTATGTTTGACTATTTTATAAAGGTATTGGCAGTCAGGCAAAAGCCTCACCACCCAGACATTTTATTGCCCTTTGGTGCTTTCTGCAGTTCCAAGTATGGGAAAAGAGTACATTCTCTTGTGTTTTATTTTTTGTCAGGAGATGACCTCCAGATTAAAACAAACAAATTCATCTTAGATCAGGAACCTTTGGAAGAAGCAGAAACCTTAGCTGTGTCATCAGGATGTCCTGCGACAAGTGTTTCTGAGGGAATTGGGCTCAGAGAATCTTTTCAACAGAAGAGCAGGCAAAAGGATCAATGTGAAAACCCCATACAAGTAACAGTTAAAAAAGAAGAGACCAATTTCAGTCACAGGACAGGAAAAGACTCTGAAGTATCAGGAAGTAATAGTCTTGACTTAAAACATGTTACATATTTGAGAGTTTCTGGAAGAAAGGAATCCCTTAAACATGGCTGTGGCAAACACTTCAGAATGAGTTCACACCACTATGACTACAAGAAATATGGGAAGGGGCTCAGACACATGATTGGCGGCTTCAGCCTACATCAGAGAATTCATACTGGACTGAAAGGGAATAAAAAGGACGTGTGTGGAAAAGACTTCAGCCTTAGCTCTCATCACCAGCACGGGCAGAGTCTTCACACGGTGGGAGTGTCATTTAAGTGCAGTGACTGTGGAAGGACTTTCAGTCATAGCTCCCATCTTGCATATCATCAGAGACTTCACACTCAAGAGAAGGCATTTAAATGTAGGGTGTGTGGGAAAGCCTTCCGGTGGAGTTCCAACTGCGCACGGCATGAGAAAATTCACACTGGAGTGAAGCCCTATAAATGCGATTTATGTGAGAAAGCTTTCCGACGTCTGTCAGCCTACCGTCTGCACCGAGAAACCCATGCTAAGAAGAAATTTCTTGAATTGAATCAGTATAGGGCAGCTCTCACCTACAGCTCAGGGTTTGATCATCATTTGGGAGACCAAAGTGGAGAGAAACTCTTTGACTGCAGCCAGTGCAGGAAGTCCTTCCACTGTAAGTCATATGTTCTTGAACATCAAAGGATTCACACCCAGGAGAAACCCTATAAATGTACCAAATGCAGGAAAACCTTTAGGTGGAGATCAAACTTTACTCGTCATATGAGGTTGCATGAGGAGGAAAAATTCTACAAACAAGATGAATGTCATGAGGGCTTCAGGCAGTCTCCTGAGTGCAGTCAGCCCCAGGGTGCCCCCGCTGTGGAGAAAACATTTTTGTGTCAGCAGTGTGGGAAAACTTTTACTAGAAAGAAAACTCTCGTTGACCACCAGAGAATTCACACAGGTGAGAAACCATACCAGTGTAGCGATTGTGGGAAGGACTTTGCCTATAGGTCAGCCTTTATTGTTCATAAGAAGAAGCATGCCATGAAAAGAAAACCTGAGGGCGGGGCATCTTTTAGTCAGGACAGAGTGTTCCAGGTTCCTCAGAGCAGTCACTCCAGAGAGGAGCCCTACAAATGCAGCCAGTGTGGCAAGGCCTTCCGCAATCACTCCTTCCTCCTCATCCATCAGAGAGTTCACACTGGAGAGAAGCCGTATAAGTGTAGGGAGTGTGGGAAAGCCTTCAGATGGAGTTCCAATCTCTACCGACATCAGAGGATTCACTCTCTTCAAAAACAGTATGATTGCCATGAAAGTGAAAAGACTCCAAATGTGGAGCCGAAAATCCTCACTGGTGAGAAACGTTTTTGGTGTCAAGAATGTGGGAAAACCTTTACACGTAAAAGAACCCTTTTAGATCATAAGGGAATACACAGTGGAGAGAAGCGCTATAAATGTAATCTGTGTGGGAAATCTTACGATAGAAACTATCGCCTTGTTAACCATCAGAGGATCCACTCTACAGAGAGACCTTTCAAATGTCAGTGGTGTGGGAAAGAGTTCATTGGGAGACATACCCTTTCCAGTCACCAGAGGAAACATACCAGAGCGGCACAGGCTGAACGTAGCCCACCTGCGCGGTCTTCCTCTCAGGACACAAAGTTGAGATTACAGAAGCTAAAACCAAGTGAGGAGATGCCCCTCGAAGACTGCAAAGAAGCTTGCAACCAGAGCTCCAGGCTCACTGGACTCCAGGACATAACCATTGGGAAAAAGTGCCACAAATGCAGCATATGTGGGAAAACTTTCAACAAGAGTTCACAACTCATTAGCCACAAGAGATTTCATACTCGAGAGAGGCCGTTCAAATGCACCAAGTGTGGGAAGACCTTCAGGTGGTCTTCGAACCTGGCTCGGCATATGAAAAACCATATTAGAGATTAGCCTGGGACCTGACAATGACAGTGGGGGTGGGTTCTCAGTCCCCTGCTAGAGAACCCTTAATTATAGGCAGTGTGGAGAAACCTTCACAAAGGGCCCAGCCCTTTCTATTTTGGAAGCTAGTGACAGAATCCCAAGGATTTAAAAGCTCGGGGAGTCCCTAGCCTGCCTGCTGGGATGTGACGCTGGGGAAGCTCAGCAGCATGTTCTTTGGAGCCCTTCTGGAGACTTGGGCCCCTAGGAGTGGCCTCTGCAGCTCGCCCGGTCAGGTCTCCTTCCACAACTCTGAGGAGAGAGACGACTGCCCTTTACAGTTGGACAAAATATCTGTGGCATCATGGGCTGTGGCTGCTGGAAAGGGGCCAGTGGGATCCTAGATTTATCTTCAAGTTTGGCCTGTGGCCATGCCTATTCTGTTGACTTTAAAAGCAGCAGCATCAAGAATGCCTTGTCTTCCCAAATGCCCCCTGGGGAGTTCTGGCTGGGGCTTCAGTCTTCCTGGCTGGCTTTTGGATATCTGCTAGGGGGTTAGAGAGGTCTCAGCGGCAGGTGGAGGAGAGCAGGATGCTGGACTCAAGCGCTTGGCTTGTGGAGCTCTACCCGTACCCTGTTGCCGTCCCCATCCCACTGGCCTACATAGGCAGCAGCATCCATCTGTTTAACAGAAATGTGCTGAGCACTCCCATACACCAGGCACTGGTTTGTTTGCCAGAGACCTAGCAGGGACCAGAACAGATGAAAATCCTGCCATCTTGGATCTTTACAGATGACAAACAAATGGGATATGCAGTATTCTGGATGGTGATGTGTGTAGTGGACAAAGTGAATCAGAGAAGAGTGAGAGGGAGTGCTGGATTGGGAGATCAATTGTGATTTTAGATAGTCTGATCAGGGAGGGCCTCAACTGAGAAAGTGAAATTTGAGCAAAGACCTGAAGGAGGCCAGGGAGGTAGCAGGTAACTCTCTAGGGAGAGTTGCAGGCAAAGGAGATTGGGTCTTGTTTGGTGTCCTCAGGATAGCAAGGAAGCCTCTGGGATGGAGTGCAGGGAGCCAGCTGGAAGGGGAGGAGAGGGGCCAGGGAGGCCATAGGCCAGGCCATGTGAGCATCATGGGTCATTACGGGGGCTTGAGCTGCCTCGGAGGCAGGGAGCATTTGGACAGTTTTGAGTTGAGGAGTGATGTGGTTTGAATCTGAATTATATTTTATAAGAGTTAACCACAGATCCAAGGACTCAGTAAAGTGGAATGGGTGAAAGGCTTCTCATGTGGTTACCCTTGCTGCCAGTTCCCATAAATCAGACTCCTCCCCACTCCGTTTCTGAATTTTCTATAGGATCCTCAGCCTCAGCAGATGTAAATGCTTACCATTGTTGTGTTCACGTCTCTAGCCCCTGCATACTGCAGGCCCCTCTCACCTTCACATACTCCTCTCACCTTCACATACCCCTCTCCATGTATGAGATCTGGTGCTAGCAATCAGATTCAACCCGAAGGAACAAGTGCATGTGCCTGCTGCTCTCAGGAGAAAAGACGACCTGTTCTGGAAGGAGCTCCTTCACTGGCCCACCCACTTGTGTTGAAGCAAAAAGCAAGAATCAATTACTTAAAGGCAAAGGAGTGCTATTGCTAAAGCCTGTGAGCAATCATTGCTTCTGATTATTGAAGAGGTCAGATTGTAAATGAAAGGATAAAATGTCTTAATAGTAGAGCAGTGTCCCCGACTGTAGCGGCCTATTCACGGAGCTGGTCATTTCTTGAAATGAGAAGAAACCAACCTGGAAGATGTGTTTTTCAGTACAGTATGGAATAATCTTATCTGCTCTGGATTGCCATGAGCAGGTGAAAATGAAGGCTCTGATATTGTGTGGTGGTATCACGGGATGGTGGGGGCGGGACAGAAGTCTCCTGTTGGTGTTCTGATGCCTGTTCAGCTTTGTCCTCAGGAAGGTTTGGTCATCTTGGTTGCACCATCTCTTGCCTTCCTATGGCAGCAGCTGTTCATGGCAGTGAAGATGTCCCTTCACTGTCCCAAAAATGGCACTAGAAGTGGCTGGGCAGGGACCAGAGTCATAGGAAGGGTCTTGGAGTCATCAGATCTGGGTTCCAGGCATGGTGTGCCTTTTCTTGGCAGGAATGATCTTGAGCAAGTCAGTGAACCTCTGCATCGATTTCCTTATGTGTGAAGTTAGAGTGCTTTGCTGTGCTACCTGACTCCTGAGATTGGTGAAAGAGGGCTTGGTTTACCAAGGCTCTCCATCAGGTGGTTGACCTCTAGGACCAGGGCCTTCTCAGAGGTGCAGCTCCCATGTCAGTTGGTGTTATAACCTCGGAAATGTCCCTTTCCGATCACATTTTTAGCACCCCTTTCCCCCCATCTCTGCTCCCTTTGCCACAGGACGTCTTGTAAAGTTCCTGCCCCAGTATGGGGATATTTTTAGTTGTTTTTTTTTTTTTTTTTTTGAAACAGGGTTGTCCAGGATGGAGTGCAGTGGCAGGATCACAGCTCACTGCAGCCTTGACCTCCAGGCCCAGGTCCCACCTGAGCCTCCCCAGTAGCTGGGACTACAGGTGCGTGCCACCATGCCAGCTAATTTTTTATATTTTTTTGTAGAGACAAAAGTTTTATTTATTTTTTTCCTATGTTGCTCAGGCTGGTCTCAAACTCCTGGGCTCAAGCAATCCACCCACCTCTGCCTCCCAAAGTGCTGGGATTACAGGCATGAGCCACTGTGCCTGACCTGTCATTTTTATAGAATGAAATGTGCTTATTTTTAAACATTCTAATCAAGTTTTAAAATGTGCAAAGAATGAAGTGAAAAACAGATTTTTTTTTTTTTTTTTTTTGAGACGGAATCTCGCTCTGTCGCCCAAGCTGGAGTGCAGTGGCGGGATCTTGGCTTACTGCAAGCTCCGCCACCCGGGTTCACACCATTCTCCTGCCTCAGCCTCCTCAGTAGCTGGGACTACAAGCACCCGCCACCACGCCCGGCTAATTTTTTGTATTTTTAGTAGAGACGGGGTTTCGCTGTGTTAGTCACGATGGTCTCGATCTCCAGGATAGTCTCAATCTCCTGACGTTGTGATCCACTCACCTCGGCCTCCCAAAATGCTGGCATTACAGGTGTGAGCCACCGTGCCTGGCCAAAAAACAGAAATTACTTTATCCTGAAGTAAGCTGTTTATATTTGGGATTATGCTGATCCCATTTGTCCAATAACCTGAGTTTTCAAATAATTTTAGTTCTGTAAGTACTATAATTATATAAATATTAATAAATTCAGATTAGCTGAAAGGAAAAAAAGTAGAAGCCTGACTGCTTGGTGCTAACTACAAAAGATTTTGGCAGAATCAGTGTTGGATTTGGCTTTCCTGTCCCTTCCCCACCCCATCCCCCCAGAGTGTTCTGCCTTGTGCTGCCTCCCTTCACCTGGAGTGCCACACCCGTCTGTGCCAGTTCAGCTCTTCATTCTTCAAGGCCTGACCTTGTCTGACCCTTGTGCCTCTAAACCCCTGGCCCCACGTCTCTTGGTGCCTGTGTCAGGTGATGTTTGTGTTTTTGGTTATGCCCGTCACCATAGCCAGACCAAGCACTCTGGAAGCCAGGGTTGGGTGCTTATTTATCTGTTTGCCATGCACAAAAGATCTTGCACAAAATTACCTCTGTTAAGCAGTCTGGAACTGAAGTTGGTTTGGCTAAGTCAGGGTTGGGGTTTTTTTTAAGGGGCTGTGGGGTGAAATGTTGACTGGAAGCCACCCACAAACACACACCTGCTGGTTAGGAACCCGGCTGTGGGTGGTTCTGAGCTGTTTGGCTTCAGTTGACAGTTTCCGATTGCCCTAAGCACCGGGTCTCATCTTACATCTCATCTTGGCCTGGAGAACATTCAGGTTCCTTCCAACCGTACCCCCCTTTCCCCCACTCCCTTGGAGGAGCTGAAGTTGGGGTCAGGAGTGCCAGATGGCGGGAGTGGGTATTTGAAGGTCTTTCTGTCACCTGTTCAGTGTGGTCTGCCCCACCCCTGCTGACCAAGAGTGTCCGAAATGTGAAATAATACCATCTCACACTCATCAAGCTGGCACATTTTTGAAAACCCAAGTGTGGGTAAGTGTGTGGAACAATGATAATTCATACTGCTTTAGGAGTGGAAATTGTGAGAAATACTGTGCCAGGCAATTTGCAAAATCTTGGAAGGTTGTGTGCACTTACCCACCCAGCAACTATACTCCTGGATGCATCCTAGAGAAGTGCCATGTGAACAGAGAAATGAGTTGAAGACTTCACTGAAGTATTGTTTAGGTAGCAAGATTGGGAAAAGCCTGTATTTCATCAGCAGAAGAGTGGATAAATAAATGGGTTGTTTTTGGTCCTTGGAAACTGAATATGAAAGAGTTACGTCTCAACACAGATAGATGAAAAATTATGCTGAGAAAGTTGGTGAAGCTACATACAAGGTACTGTTTGTGTAAAGTTAAGCATACTGTGTATCTGTGGGCACGTTACTTCAACTTGTTTTTCACCTTTTCTATAAAATGGGATCGTAGTGGCAATCTCACAGGGTGATTGTGGGTGGGGGGTGGTCAATGAAGTAATGCATGTAAAATGCTTAGAATAGTGTCTAGCATGTAAGCATTGTGGACATACAGAAAGTGTTATTGTTTTGCACAGTAATCTATTTTCTGTGGATTCAAATAATATGAAATGAAATCATGTATTGGAATGATGTGTGCAAGTCACCATTCTGCCTTCCTAAGGCAGGAGACCTGATGGATTTGGGGAGGGTACATGGGGGCTTCAGTTGTGTTTTCTTTCTTTCTTTCTAAAAATTGATGCAGAGGCATCAGAATGTTAAGATATTAACAGGATAGTGTGGTGGGTTCTTTTTCACTGTTTGCCTAAAGTGTTTCAAAGTAAAAATATTTCTTAAGCATGGTCTCTGACATCTTATGATTTTATAGAAATCCCTGCCAGGTACATGATGTTACTTAGAGTGAGCCACCTAATCTTTCAAGGCTTCTATTTCCTCACCTGCAAAAATTGGGAGGGTCAGAGGCATTTGAACCAGAGTGACTCCATCTTGAATAGGCAGTGGGTAAAATAAGGCTGAGACGTACTGGGCTGCATTCTCAGAAGGTTAGGCATTCCAAGTCATGTGATGAGATAGGAGGTCAGCACAAGATACAGTCATAAAGACCTTGCCAATAAAACAGCATGTGGTAAAGAAGCCGGTCAAAACCAAGATGGCAATGAAAGTGACCTCTGGTTGTCCTCACTGCTGTAATTATACTGTAATTACAATGTATTAGCATGCTAACAGACATTCCCACCAGTACCATGACAGTTTACAAATGCCGTGGCAGGCCTGGCGCAGTGGCTCAAGCCTGTAATCCCAGCACTTTAGGAGGCCAAGGAGGGCAGATCATGAGGTCAGGAGATAGAAACCAGCCTGGCCAACATGGTGAAACCCTGTCGCTACTGAAAAATACAAAAATTAGCTGGGCATGGTGGCACGCGCCTGTAATCCCAGCTACTCGGGAGGCTGAAGCAGGAAAATCTCTTGAACCTGGGAGTGGGAGGTTGCAGTGAGCCAAGATGGTGCCACTGCACTCCAGCCTGGGTGACAGAGCAAGACTCTGTCTCAAAAAAAAAAAAAAAATTGCCATGGCAACATCAGGAAGTTACCCTATGTGGTCTAAAAAGGAGATGAACCCTCAGTTCTGGTAATTGCTCACACCTTTCCCAGAAAACTTATGAATAATATACCCCTTGTTTAGCATATAATCAATAAATAACCATAAAAATAGGCAACCAGCAGCCCTTGGGGCTACTCTGCCTATGGAGTAGCCATTCTTTATTTCTTTACTTTCTTAATATTAACTACTTTGACTTTGTGGACTCGCCCGAATTCTTTTCTTGAGCAAGGTCCAAGAACTCTGTTGGGGACTGGATCACGACCGCTTTCTGGTAACAGGAGCAATACAAATGGCTGTCAGTAAAGGAATGCTTAAGTAACTCTAGTACATCTATGATGGAATACCAGGCCACAGTTTTTTTGAAAATGAGAATGTTCTCTATATACTGACACACAATCACCAAGACATGCACTTTATAGGAAATTAAAAGCTCTTCCTTGCCTAAATCTTCTGAATTTTGCTTAATAAGTAACAAGTGAAGCCAGAAGCTATAAACTCATAATTTTAATGAAGAAATGGGATCCGGAGAGTGGAGATGCTTTTCAGTCATTCTACTTTATTAGATGAGGAAAAGGAGAGTAAATATTTGTATGCCAGCTACCACACCTTTTAAAGTTAATGCTAACCCTGCTAAGAACAGCAAGGAGATTTTTTATCAGCCAGGTTTTAGTTGCCAGAAACCACACCAGTTATTTTAGCAGAGAACTTACAAAGAAGTGTATATATTTAAGTAGCTAAAAAGGCAAGAAGAAAATGGCAAGGTGTCTTGGAGGTAGCAACTGCTAAGCAGGCGCCACCCCAGGACTGGGGGAGCTGGAATAGAGTCTCCCCATGTTTGATGTTTCTCTGCTAACAGCTTTCAAGCTCTTCCCCCTTAATTTGCCCGGATCTGGACAAGCTGATAAGAAAGCCCAGGCACTTCCTCTTTGCGCCAGAGGGGAAGTTCAAACTGTGCAAACCCTGACTCACAAATGCACCGAGCTTTCATAACCATAATAAAAACCAGAGCCACTTGCCCCTCCTTTCACTGAAGCCCAACTGACTGGCGTGGGTGCCCTCTTTGCTTTCCTTAGAAAGCCTCATGTGAATAGTAAATGTTTTCGTAACCTCTTGGTGTCTGCAGTGTCATCAGTTTCAACATCCTAACCAGTTTTGTTGATCCTACCTCATATGGAGCAACGTGCAAAGCAGGAACAGAGAATTCGCTAGAATTGTTGAAAGGTAGGAGATTGTAAGAGGGGCCTTGTGGAGCTGAACTCAGATCTATGGAGGAGGGGTGGACTGCTGTACTGACATAGTGTCTGTGCTCAGGGAGGGGCTCTGTGGCCTTTGGATCCATGCTTCTGTGGAGGGGTCCCAGCTACTAATGCTGGGACAGGGAGTAGAAGGGAGGGTCACAATGAAACTTCGAATGTTGGTTAACCACCTTTTGCCTGAAGAACATGTAATGGCCTTCCCTGAGGTATATGTCTTCCAAAAGTCTGCTGACATTGCTCAGGACCTATGCCCACCACTTTTTGCGTTTTGCCTTTTTTTTTTTTTTTTTTTTTTTTTGAGACAAGCTCTCTCTCACCCAGGCTGGAGTGCAGTGGCACGATCTCAGCTCACTGCAACCTCCACTTTCTCAGGCTCAAGCGATTCTCCAGCCTCAGCCTTCTGACTAGTGGGGACTACAAGTGTGCACCACCACACCCAGCTAATTTTTGTATTTTTGTAGAGACAGGGTTTGGTCATGTTACCCAGGCTGGTCTTGAACTCCTGGTCTCAAGTGACCCACCTGCCTCAGCTTCCCAAAGTGCTGGGATTACAGGTGTGAGCCACCATGCCTGGACTCCTTTAAAAAAATATATTTTTTGACTGGGCACGATGGCTCACGCCTGTAATCCCAGCACTTTGGGAGGCCGAGGCGGGCGGATCATGAGGTCAAGAGATCAAGACCATCCTGGCTAATGCGGTGAAGCCCCATCTCTACTAAAAATACAAAAAAATTAGCCGGGCGTGGTGGCAGGCTCCTGTAGTCCCAGCTACTTGGAAGGCTGAGGCAGGAGAATGGCTGAACCCGGGAGGCAGAGGTTGCAGTGAGCCGAGATCGCCCCACTGCACTCCAGCCTGGGCGACAGAGTAAGACTCTTTGTCTCAAAAAATATATAATAATAATTTTTAATTTTTTGTGGAGTTAGGGTCTCCCTATGTTGCCCAGGCTGGTCTTAAACTTCCGACCTCGGGATCCTACCACCTCAGCCTCACAAGATGGTGGGATTACAAGTGTGAGTCACCGCTCCCAGCCCCTTTTTTGCTTTTAAACCTAGAGCAAACTACAACTTGATTCGTGTTCTAGTACCAGTAAGGCCTCAAAGAGTGAAGTGCAGGCTGGGCACGGTGGCTTACGCCTGTAATCCCAACACTTGGGGAGGCCAAGGTGGGCAGATCACGAGGTCAGGAGATTGAGACCAGCCAGCCTGGCCAATATGGTGAAACCCCGTCTCTATTAAAAATACAAAAATTAGCCGGGTGTGGTGGTGCGTGCCTGTAATCCTAGCTACTGGGGAGGCTGAGGCAGGAGAATCACTTGAACCCATGAGGTGGAAGTTGCAGTGAGCCGAGATCCCAAACTGCACTCCAGCCTGGGCGACAGAGTGAGACTGTCTCAATAAAAAAAGAAAAGAGAAGTGCAGAATGTGATTGAGGAGATACAATACTCTCCAAATTGCGTAATTTCGCCAAGTTTTACAGAAACCTGGGGAATCTGTAGAGATAGTGTCAGAAGCATTGGAATGAGAGCAACTCCATGTTGAATGAGGGCTGGGTAAAAGTGTCAGAGCGACTTTTACCAGAGCGACTCCATTTTGAGTGAAGGCTAGGAAAATGAGGCTGAGACTTGCTGGCCTGCATTCTCAGAAAGTTAGGCATTCGTAGCCTCTAGGATTGAATTGGGACCCCTTTCCTGTAACACAGAAGGGACTATAGTGCGGAAACCCTGACCCCAAGGGCTACCTTTGCGTTAAGTGTTGGGGTCCTATAACATATTTCTGGCAAACCACAGAAAGGATGATACTGAAGAAATCTCCCCAACCCCAAGGAAATAGACAGCAGCACTGATTGGATGACTTTGGCTAAGTGATGGGGTACTCGAGTAAAGAATGGGATTGGGTTAGAGGCCCAACTTAGGGGGGAGTTAGAGTTTCTCCTAAGACAGAGTGGGTTAGAGGCCCCTCTTAATAAAAGGCAAGGACACTTGACTGACCTCAGGTTAGAGGTTACTCCATCCTACTCTGTCTATGGAGTAGCTGTCCTTTCACCACTTTACTTTCTTAATAAACTTGCTTTTGCTTTGCACTGCGGACTCGCCCTGAATCCTTTCTTGCACAAGATCCAAGAACTCTCTCTTAGGGTCTGGATCGGGACCCCTTTCCTGTAACAAAATGAGGCCGAGACCTACTGGGCTGCATTCCCAGATGGTTAAGGCATTCTAAGTCACAGGATGAGATAGGAGATTGGCACGAGATCCAGGCCATAAAGACCTTGCTGATAAAACAGGTTGCAGTAAAGAAACCAGCTAAAACCCACCAAAACCAAGACAGTGATGAGAATGACTTCTGGTTATCCTCACTGCTACCCTCCCACCAGTGCCATGACAGTTTACAGATGCCATGGCAACGTCAGGAAGTTACCCTATATGGCCTAGAGAGGGGAGGTGTGAATAATCCACCCCTTGTTTAGCATATCATCAAGAAACCATAAAAGTGGACAACCAGCAGCCCTCGGGGCTGCTCTATGGAGTAGCCATTCTTTTATTCTTTTACTTACTTTTTTTTTTTTTTTTCTGAGACGGAGCCTCGCTCTGTAGCCTGGGCTGGAGTGCAGTGGCCGGATCTCAGCTCACTGCAACCTCCGCCTCCCGGGTTTATGCCATTCTCCTGCCTCAGCCTCCCGAATAGCTGGGACTACAGGCGCCCGCCACCTCGCCCGGCTAGTTTTTTGTATTTTTTTAGTAGAGACGGTGTTTCACCGTGTTAGCCAGGATGGTCTCGATCTCCTGATGTCGTGATCTGCCCGTCTCGGCCTCCCAGTGTGCTGGGATTACAGGCTTGAGCCACCGCGCCCGGCCTTATTCTTTTACTTTCTTAATAAACTTGCTTTCTCTTTATGGACTCTTCCTGAATTCTTTCTTGTGCAAGATCCAAGAACCCTCTCTTGGGGTCTGGATCGGGAACCTTTTTCAGTAACAAGGATGCAGGAT